CCCCCCCCCCCCCCCCTCTTTCCCCTCCTCTAAAATTAATTCTCTCCTGGAGAACGTCTTCGTGAGCCTTTTATGATTTTAGGATAGTTGAAACCCTCTTGAACATTTAGAAAGAGTGAATATGAAATTCTAATTACGAAAGGTGTTTCTCGAGGGGATACATACCTAGAGTTTGTTTTGTGAAGCACGTTAATTCTCTCTTGAAAGCGTCTTCGTGAGCCTCTTATGGTTTGAGGATAGTTTAAATTTTATGATGTTCCGATTCAATGCTCACCGATGATCTGAGCTATGGGCCATGGGGCAAGTTTGTTTTCTTAAGAATCTTTTTGAACATTTCGATAGCATATGTTTGAACATTTAGAGTGCATTTTACGAAAGGTCGCTTCCGAGGGGATAAATCACCATATCGAACATTGCATTTTTGTTCCTGCCATTCGCATTCTCTTCTCTTCCCGCTGTCCTACCTTTCGTGTCTCTTTCCTCTTAAGTATTTTCATATATTTATATATTTATATTTATATTTATCTTTGCACATTTATATTTCTATTTATATAGATTGCATTTAAACATATTAATGAAAAAAGATAAATTAAAAAAAAATATTTATTTAGACACGAATGCCTAACAGATTATGGTGATATAGCAAGGCAGCGTTGGGTTGGTGTTAGGTTTTAAATAAAGAACAGAAACACCGATATAAAATAAGAAAAAGGACACAAATAATAATAATAAGAAGAAGAATGCCCAATAAGCAGCAGATAGGCAAGCAGGAACAAAATACATTTGATAGAATAAAGAAATCGACGGATATTTTAGTGTTAGGCTGGCGCTAGATCCGCGTTAACACCGCGCTAGACGACGGTCTATTTCTGATTATCTGCCCATCCAACACCCAAATCTTTTGAGTCAATTTTTACATTCTTCCTATGTCGTTCTGAAAGATTTCTGAGAACTAAATTGGAAGTACCCGCAGAAATCTAGTAGCAACAGTAGCAGCAACAACAAAAACAACAGCTCCAGCAACTCAACAGGCCCCTGAAAAGGTCCGCGTTAGACACCTCCCACAGTTTTTGCAATTGATACGCCTTTATGTTTAATATTCCTGTGTTTTGAGTGTGGTTGGAATTTAAAGGAGATTTAGAAGCGGGTTCCCATGAAATTGCGATGAATGCACCATTTTGGGAAAAGATATTTTGGAAATTAATCATATTTTTCTTTATCTTCATATTTATATATATTTATATATATCTATTTATAATTACATCTATATATTTAAATTTCTATATATTTTCACATTTGCATATCTATATCTTTACTTATCTTCATATCTTCATATTTATATATCTCACATCTTCATCTATATTTCTATTTATCTTTACATCCTTAGATCTACACATTTTTTATGTTCACTTCTCATTCTTCTTGTTCACCTTTCATTCTTCTTTGCTTTCTCTCTTAAGGCCGGGGGCGGTATTGCCGGAGCACCACGAAACGCAACCCTCCGTGGAGATCGTGCGTGTCGAGGGCGCGAAATTCAAATGAAAATGCGTTTTGGATTTGTCGCGGGCAACGCTCTGCGGAGCTCGTGCGTGTCGAGGGCATGAAATGCAGGTGAGATTGCATTTTGGATTTGTCGTGGGCAATCTTCTGCAGAGATCGTGCGTGTCGAGGGCGCGAAATGCAGGCGAGAGTGCGATTTGGTTTTGTCGCGGGCAACCCTCTGCGGAGATTGTGCATATCGAGGACGCGAAATGCAGGTGAAATTGCATTTTGGATTTGTCCGGGGCAACCTCTACAGAGATCGTGCGTGTCGAAGGCGCGAAGTGCAGGTGAGATTGCATTGTGGATTTGTCCGGCGCAACCCTCTGCGGAGATCGTGCGTGTCGAAGGCGCGAAATGCAGGTGAGAGTGCATTTTGGATTGGTCGCGCTTTACTTTTGGAGGAAATTTCGTTCGAAACGCTCGTTTTGGAGACTT